GAGTAGAGTGCTCAAGGATTCTGTTGCCCACTGCAGGAGATACAGAAGCAAGAAATATAACATAAATGCTTTATTTCTGCTGCAAATATCCCCTCACTCTCTTCTTGGTCAGTGTATCACTGCTCTCAGAGCAAGTGGCTTGCTTGGTATTTTGCCCAGTAAAGAGATGAGAAAATTTTCAAAATTAGTTCTTTGCATTAGTATCTAATATTTTACTACCTGGTTTACAAAGTCAGTCTTAGGATTATTTTGGTACTAAGCAGGCATAAACCCTGTAATTCAGTATTAAAAAAATACATGCAGCCCTTCAGGATCCTAAAAGGTTCACTCGTGGCTTGCAGTCAAAGAAAGGTTGCTCATCACTGCCGTAAACCAAGTTCGAGGCAAACTTTGAGTTTAATCTACAAGCTATAAATTTTAAAGCTATTGTCTCAAGTTTCAACTATGGCAAGATTCTTGCAAATTTCATCTCACTATGGTAAGGATGCTGAAGCTCACTTTATTAAAGACCCAAATTTCACCATTGGGGGTAGGCCTTGGGACACCATGGCCATTGTAATGGAAGAGAACACGTTCCTCCTTGGCATTTCTTCTCAGAGACATACACAGCTTCTTTACTACTTCCACTGTAGGATCTAGACTCTGCTTGTATCGAGCTCGTGACTGCCATCTTTCATATTGCTTCTGCAGTCTTGCACCAATGGTCTCAAGGGCTACCATTGGGGTCATGGAAAGGGGATCTGGTCCAAGAATGAGAAGAACTGGTGCAATAATAGGACTCAAGATGAAAAAGCCAATAGCCAAAGGAAATGCCTTACCGATCCAACATTCCATTCGAGAACAAGGCTGAGTCTTGACAACATCTGGAGGATCAACTCCAACATTTAGGCATAGCACAAGTGCAACACTCACAGTTTTCATCTGAAAGAATGAAACAAATAAAGACAAGTCCTAGCATGTATTTATGAACTTAATGCTGACTAGGCTGCTGATGGAAATATTGATTGGAAAAGAGTTTTACATTTCAAATCAGTTGTACTGAGCCTTTGCAAATGAGCTGCATTGGAATATTTCTCACCCTTTCTCTCATTCTCCATGTGTGCAGGACAGGAGGCACTCCTTCTATCTTCTCAAGGTGCCTCACCTCAGAGAAAACCAGTGGCAACTTCCAATCTTCCAAAATATTGTCAGCATCTTTTGGTTGTGAGATGCTCTCTCCTTCTTGCTTCTGGGACTCAGATTTCATCCCAAGAAAAGTATGGTAGAACTAGCCACACTTTCTCTCAATTGTGATTGAACCAGAGATCAGTGATTACTGGTACCAGAACTTCATAATTCACCCAAGCAAACCTAAGACAGCATAGGTCACATCTCTCCTGGAACTACAAAACCATATATGAACACTGCAATCAATGGTGCTGAAAATGCACTGGAACTTTCAAATGGGCAGAGGAAACATGAAGAAACATGCTTGTAACATAGGACCTAAAGACATTTGATAGATGGAAGGAAGGCTATCATATTGGGAATGTACCAGTTGAAAATATTTTGATTTTTTAATGCTGGATGCTAGCACAGTTGATTCAAGTCCTTATATAATATGACATTCAGCAGTGCAATACTTGATGCTAGACCCAATCAGTGCTAGTATGGTTTGAGTTCTACTTAATCCATGACAACAAACTGAAGAAGGTCGTTTAAGCATGGTTGGAGTGACAATCAGGAAACTTTATTTATTTATTTTTAAATTGACTCACTCAACAACAAATGAGAGATGTACACAACTAAACACAAAAAGTACATTACAAACTCATACTAAAGACTTACTCCTGCAAGTGTGCTTGCTTTTATTTTTTTGTGTACACTACAAGAAATAAATGCATCCTTCATATTGCACATCAATGTGCATAACGAAATTAAGGTCCATGGAACAGGATAAAAAAAAAAGGTAGTTTAACTTTATAATTAGTTCTCACACCCCTGTTCAGTTTAGCCCTTTAACCAAGCCAAATCACAAAAAGGGAAACATGGTTCAGAATGATCTCACAGGACATGAATGGATCCATAGCTGGTTTGCATTGAAAAACTCAGTCACAATAGCAACAACTNAACCATATATGAACACTGCAATCAATGGTGCTGAAAATGCACTGGAACTTTCAAATGGGCAGAGGAAACATGAAGAAACATGCTTGTAACATAGGACCTAAAGACATTTGATAGATGGAAGGAAGGCTATCATATTGGGAATGTACCAGTTGAAAATATTTTGATTTTTTAATGCTGGATGCTAGCACAGTTGATTCAAGTCCTTATATAATATGACATTCAGCAGTGCAATACTTGATGCTAGACCCAATCAGTGCTAGTATGGTTTGAGTTCTACTTAATCCATGACAACAAACTGAAGAAGGTCGTTTAAGCATGGTTGGAGTGACAATCAGGAAACTTTATTTATTTATTTTTAAATTGACTCACTCAACAACAAATGAGAGATGTACACAACTAAACACAAAAAGTACATTACAAACTCATACTAAAGACTTACTCCTGCAAGTGTGCTTGCTTTTATTTTTTTGTGTACACTACAAGAAATAAATGCATCCTTCATATTGCACATCAATGTGCATAACGAAATTAAGGTCCATGGAACAGGATAAAAAAAAAAGGTAGTTTAACTTTATAATTAGTTCTCACACCCCTGTTCAGTTTAGCCCTTTAACCAAGCCAAATCACAAAAAGGGAAACATGGTTCAGAATGATCTCACAGGACATGAATGGATCCATAGCTGGTTTGCATTGAAAAACTCAGTCACAATAGCAACAACTTACATTCTCACATCCTTCCAAAACTTAGACGTGCAAGAGATTACACATAAGCCTGTCTGTTTTTGTTATAGATTTATGCGGTAGGCTTATATCTACAGGCCTACTTAGTGGAACAAAAAGGTCCTGTTGATTTCATCCCAACTGAAACACGAGAGACAACTCCAAATTACCAACTACTTCGAATTCGCCCGGCCGTCAATGGCATGCACAGGCTTGACCAAACGTCTAAGAAATGATCCTCGTCTTGCGTATCCATACTTGTGTCTTAATCAATGATTACAGGGTTTTCCACATGAGTCAGCATTTTATCACTTAATTCGGACTTCAATAAATGGGAGGTGTCCCATAGGGCAGGTGTATGAGTCAATTGAGAAAATGTCTGACTTAATGGAAAATACAGTAGCGTACAGGAATTTCCCTCTTAGAGCAACAAAAGAGATCTACCTCCAAAGAGCGATATAGATTGAAGGATGGCATGCTTACCACGCACATGCAGTCACGTTGTCAATCGTCACCGTGGCGCCATGACATGGAGCAGTGCTGTTGCCGTAATTGTAACACGAAAAGATTATGAAATTGCATTTATTCCGTCACTCATTCAAGGCAATAACGGAACCTGCAACGAGTTCCTTTTCCCGGGGAAAATGTCAATGGCGTTATTGTAACGATTCACTTTCTTCATGGCAGATATAACTTCGAGTGAAAGTGATCAGTGCTGTATTGCTTCATTTATCCTTGCCCCATACTGAAATAACTTGCAAAGTTGCCCGGGTAGCATGAAGCATTGCCTGAATGTTGGCTGAATGTGGTGGCCAAGTAGCGTTGGTCCAATGTTGGTGGAGAGTGGACATACATTGTAAGATGCATGTGTGCTGCTAAGATTGGGTCAATGTTGGTCGAAGAGAGGATGTGCCAGGTTGAGTATATGTGAACTATTGATGTTGGTAAAACATGGGTTGGAAGTAGGTGTGCATTATTGTGCACTGTGGCTTCCTAAGGTTGAGCAAACGTCAGTATAATGATGGAATGTGGTTTCACAATGTGGAGTATCGATGGTCTTTCCATATTTTGGTAACATTCTCATAAATGTTCCCCAGATGCAAGGCTTTTGATATTGAGACTATAAGTGAAGGGGTAACGATTTTATTGCTAGATTTCGCTCGCATGAAGAAAAGCTACAAGATCTTGTGATCGCGTAAGATACGGGCGAAAACTATAGTGCATCCAGAAATCAGCGCCATCATCAGTGCCCATTGAATTTAAGTCCTAAGTCTGGAACATGTCTTGGGCCTAGAACAGAGATGTCGCCCATGTGCCCCTAGCAATCTCAAATCCATTAAATCGCTGTTTTCATTATTTGTTTTATACAGAGGGCAAGTTATGCCTTTCAGCACTGTGAAGCTAGAAAACACAACGGCAAAATTGAATGGTTTTGAGCCCCCATTTGCAATTCATTGAGTAATCGTCTCTGAATTGTTGCAGATACTAGCATGTCTGAATGCAACTATCCCTCATTCAAGTCCTAGCATAGCTCATACGTAGAGTGGAAAAGGAGAGTAAGGTGGTTCGACGGCTTGATAATTTTCAAAATCGTTTCCATGGTTCCATCGGGGCAATATTCTGCCTCTTATGAAGTGAGCGACCAAATGATTCTGAGCTTCTTGAAACCACTTTGCCATGAAAATTGATAAACTATTGAGATAGGACAGAGGTGTCAAACTCAATTAGGCTGGGGGCCGGATGGATCCCTTCGAGGAGGGCCGAAGGCCACATAAATAAATGCACGTTTTCTCACCTTAAACTTTCAAGCTGAAGAAGTTAGACAGCGTTTTTGGGAAACCAACTGCTGGAATCGCGGTTGAAGGTTTGTGGTGGCGAGTTGCATTATGGCACGAAGATTGCTATCCGTCAGTCTGATTCGACATGCCGCTTTATTGGCCTTCGTCACAGTGACATCATTTTAGCAGCATGGGAGCATAACTTCGGAAACGTGTATTGGGGAACATAAGCGTTAAAATGCTCCACTCCAACGTCCTTGAACTTTTCTTTGAGAGTTTCATTGTATTGGAGTTCGATCACCTCCATCTGCATGGATCCAATCACGTTATCCACATCAACTGAAAATGGATTGCCAAATAATCGAAAATCTCCATTAGTGTCACGAAATCGGCGAAGCGCGACTTGAACTCCTCCTGGAAGATACTAAGCGTGGAAGCATACTTCTCCCCTGAAATATTGGGAATCAGGATGCTCCTTCATTATCGTCTAACAAGTTGGAAAATGAGAAAAGTTGAATGAGCGAAGCTGACGATCCCAAAGGCGCAGCTTTGCCTGAAAAGCTTTCACGTGGTCGTACATAACTGTTACCAATAGCTTCCGACCCTGCAGCTTAGCATTGAGATGGTTGAGATGATTGCAAACATTAACCAGAAATGCGAAGTCGAAGAGCCAATCCACATTCGAGAGTAGATCAACGATGGAATGATCTTTCTGTTCCATGAACACCTGAATTTCCTATCTCAGTTCAAAAAAAAGATTCAAAACGACACCTCGAATTAGCCAACGAACTTCGGAGTAGTACAGATCACCGTACTGAGCATCCAGTTCAGACAACAGTGTCTGAAACTGCCTTTGATTCAATCCCCTAGCTCTGATAAAGTTGATTGCTTGCACAACAGGTTTCATCACATGGTCAAATTTCAGAGCTTTTCCGCAGAGATTCTCTTGGTGCACAATACAATGCAGATTAACGATATTGTGCCCCGGGCACAACTCTTTCATTTTCTGTTTCACGAGAGCAGCAACGCCAACATTGCGTCCAACCATGGCGGGGGCTCCATCTGTCGTTATGCCAACAAGTTTCTCCCATGATAGGCCGAAGTTTTCCATCACTTTGACTACTTCCTTGAAGATATCTCTTCCTGTTGTAGTGCCGTGAAGCGGAGACACTGACAACAGCTCTTCGTACACAACAAATTTTGAGTCAACCCGTCGGATGAAAATTGAGAGCTGGGCAGTATCTCTGACATCATCGCTCACGTCGAAAGCCAAGGAGTACGCGCAGAAAGATTGCGCCAGCTGAATAATTTGGTCAGACACATCAGCAGCAATTTCAGTCATTCGTTCTGTGACGGTGTTCCGTGATAGACTCACCTTTTTGAAAGCGTCTTTCTTCTCTGGAGCAACAATCTCTGCAACTCTCACAATGCACTGCTTGATGAATTCTCCATCAGAAAACGACTTTGATGATTTTGCGATAAAGTTGCTCACAACATTGCTTGCGAGAACTGCTCCTTCCGCTTCAACATTTGCGCGTAGGAAGAAACTCTGCTGAGATGTGAGCGCTTTTCGAATATCACTAATTTTATCATCCCTGCATCTGTCTTGATATCTGTCATATTTTCCTGCGTGCTTTGTTTGATAATGACGGCGAATATTGAACTCTTTTAGCACAGCACAGGTTTCCTTGCACACAAGGCAGACGGGTTTATTTTTGAAGAGCACATAAAAGTACTTCACAGTCCACTCTTCATTGAAACCACAATTTTCGGTGTCCACCT